CATAGTAAGACAGGCAAATAAAACACAAACAGTTTTCAGAATTTTGACTAAAATGGAAAAATTATAAAGATTTCAATTTTTTTTCAAAGTTTTTTTTGCAGAAACTTTTTATTGACATTTTTTTGAAGTTTTCGGTTCCCAGAATGGAGCTAAAAAACTCCAACAATTAATTTAACTTGCCTAGTATTAAATTTTCAGGGCTTTAATTTTAAATTTCCATTATTTAAGCCGTTGTAAGCCTGCTCGATAGCTTTATTCGCACGAATTAAGACGAAAAACGAAAAATTTTAAACCAGTTTTTCTCAACTCTGGGAAACTTCTTGCATATGTTCAATTGCTGTCCTTTTTTAATGCAAATCACGACTAAAAGGGCTCGGATTTGATATATCATTCAACCCTGTCTAATCATTAATTGTGGTTCCTGATTTTGCATGGAAAACAAAAAGCAAAAAAAAACTTAAATACACCCGACTACAAAGTTCAACAATAATCGCCTCAACATTAATCTTTCTAAATTGACCTACTTGATCGAAGTTTATACTCGATCGAAATTTATAAGTCCTCTGGAGCGCATTCTTTTATTGTGCCAGATAAGATTAATTAAGAAAAAGGTTAACTGACTCGGCATCGACAGTCTCGCGTTCAAAATTGCATAAATTTTGGTTAATTTTTTTTGTCCATAAGCAGCCAGAGATCTCACTCGGAAAACAATTGCCAACGAGCATTGCCATATAGCAAGTATATAATGAGAGGGAAACTATTAAGCAGAAAAAAAAGAAATAAACATTATAATAACTGCATCTACAAAATCCTCATGAGTTTGTTTCGGCTGATGATGAATTTCTGAAGATAACAGTCACAAAAAGCAATCGAGGACATTCAAAAATTTTCAGTACCAATCATCATGCTGACCATTTGATGTTATTCTGGTGGACGACTGTTACGGCGAAACAAAAATGCCAAAAAAGTATTGTTATTGTAAAAACTTTGACCTTTTGAATTTCATAATTCGAAGACGCCCCAATTTTTCGAAGACGCCCTGAGAATGGAGAGAAATATAACCCGGTGAGAAATATAAACGCATGAAACTTTTTTTGTGTGTTTCAAAATACACATTGAAAGATAACTAAGGTAATATAATTTAGAGTGAAACTATTTTAATGAAAACTTTCTAAAAAGAACTTAATAAAAATAAAAGTTGTCAAAATACAAAAGGATTTTGCAGCATAGTAAAAATTGTCAAACTCAGACAAGATCTCCAGACTTTAAAATGTAAGCCACTATAAGACTCAAGATTACCGAAATGATTTTCATTTCACGCATAATGAAGGAAACAAAGACCAGTCGAGTTTCGACATCTCGTCTTTAGGATCAAAACATGCGCTCCACCAAAAAATTAAGTGAGAACGGATCCAGAAAAAATCGATGTCCTATCATAAAATAAGTCCACTTTTTCTACAGGTTTAGAAGAAAAAATATGTACGGGAATATAGAATAGTTTCCCATTACAAGTCACTTGCCCTCCAAGGTGAAAAAAGATCATAAGCAAACTTTTCGGTTTTTGTCTGAATTTATCATAGCTTTTGCTTTCAGTTTTATTTCATTTAATTTATTTTTATTTAATTTTCAATTCGATGTTACCTAGAGACTGCCTTTTACATAAAAAAGAAAAAAATGTATATTTTTCTTCTAAAATATTCCAAATTATAATAGCGCTCTGAGGCAATATAACAAATTAAACTGCAATAAATTTTTTACGCATTTCCAGAACTGTTCAGTAATCAAATGGAAAATTACACAAAGTATAGCCGGTTGCTGTGCCGGTTGTGTTCCGATCATATTCTCAAATTCTTACAAAATACATATTTTTTTTTCAAAACAGATCTGACAAAAATTTTGAGTTTCGACATATCAGACAGTCACAGTAAAACAAGCAAGCCGGGCAGTAACTTCGTCATAAACATGCCATAATAACCAGAAAAAAAACTAAAAATTAAAAAAAAAAAACAGAAAAGTTTTTGAGATGCATTTTTGAAATGTTGAAGTTTTCATTCCCAAGACTGCCCTAAAAAATTTATGGCCCATCCAAAGAGTCTGCTCGTTTTGTTTACTTGCTCAAATTTTATGTAAAACTAAAAAAATTCAAATCCTCGACACTGGAACTTTTTTAATTTTTGATGTTGTTTGAATCACGGTTAAAAAGGCTCTAAAATGATTTATCATTATCATTTATCAACTTCCCCATCATTATTTGAGGTAAAATTTCTTGGTTTAAAAGGAAAAAGCCTGCTCCCTCAGCTTTCTCGCTCAAAACTAGACGAAAAATGAAAAGTTTTTAAAATGTTTTTCTCGATACTGGGACAATTTTTTGAATTTTTTACGGTGGCTCGAATCACGTCTGAAAGCGCTTCAATATGATGTAGATGTATACCACTCGACCTATTCCAATGATAAATTTTCTCGAAACCTGATTTTGCGTGGAAAACAAAATTTAATACACACATGAATCCAAAAACCTCCCCCTTTTCATTTTCTCGTTTCCAGTTTATCGTTGTTAAAATATTGATGCCCCTGAGAAATTATCAACTTTTATTAAAAAAAAGTATTGAAACACATAAACGCAGTGTACACGGCTTTCAGTCAGAAAGTCTTATAAACGCATAGAACCCTAAGCTATGTCTGAAAAAAGAACATTGTAAGTTCAAAATAAAATTAATCTGAAAAAAGCATGAGCATTCCGTCTTTTTTTCTCAAATTTAAAATAAGGGAACTAATATAACTGAACAAAATTTGGTGTGATATTGACCAAGATGAATTAAAATCTCTAATATTAGAAATAAACTTAATCATAATGAAAAACATAAGAATTTTTTTAAAGGCCAATAAAAAACAATTTAAAAAAATTTTAAAAATTCAACAATAATGAAAACAAAGCAATTTACTAATCATAAAATAACGGACAATAAACTAAAACATCCGTGAGTGTCTGTGTTTGTTTTAATTTGTGTAGTCTACTCGTTTTTTAGTGTTGGATCAACAGAACCGACTTTTTGAAAAAGATCAACAGATATGAAAAAGGGCAAAATGGAAATGCAATTGGAAATTTCTATTTGTTTTTTTAAGGTAACAAATTTTCTCATGCTTGGTTTTTGGAAACCTAATATTTTCTATTTTGAGCTTAAGCCTCCAAAAGTTTCAAATTTTGTAAGACATTTCAATCCAAAATTTTCCAGATGGCAGCATTTTTTGCTTCTCACGGATGCGTTTTTCATAGTGCTTCAATTTTGAGCAGTCAAACCAAAGACTACGAAAATGTATGAAATACCAAATGACTACATTGACAAATAAAAAAGAAAACTGAATAGAGTGACTTTAGAGTTTCAATATCAGTCTTTCAGGATACTAACAAAAAGCTTTTACCCACGATTTCAAAATTGAATTGGAAAAGCAATGAAAAACCATCAAAAATCTAAATGAAAGACGCGTAGTAAAATTTATTGTTCCGACTTTTATAACGAAAGTAACGGAATAGTTCGACTTTTTAACTAGCCATTTTTGATGGAATTTTTTTTAAAAATCATTCAAAAGTTATTGTTGTCCGGAGCTAAAATTTGAAAAGATATTTTACCTGTGATCATTTTTTGTAAAACTATTGGGGTTTAAGGATTGCCATTTTGGCCAAATCGGGACAATTAACGCAAAAAAATCTTAAATTTAAAAAAAAATAATCATATTTTTTCTTACATTCATTTTTTTCAGGTTATTACTGCTCCTTAGACCTTAAAAGGCAGTCGGAACATTCAAAAGCAGCCTTGTTTGTTTTTAATGCCAATCTCCGCTATTAAAACTAAATGAACGTGTCTATAAAAGCAAAGAAATATCTCGGAAATTATTATTTATGGTGCAAAAAAAGCATGTTTTCAGAAAGTACCCTTATAAGAAATCCTAGCTCTTAAACGGAGTGTTTATATCCAGCCGGTTTATTTCAGATTGGTTCTCCTAAGTTCGAATAACATTATTGTTATCTTCTCCATGGAGGGAATGATTTTAATTTTGATGTAGCACTACGTATACTCGTCATGAATGTATAATTTTTGTAGAATGTCATTGCATATACCTTTTGATCTTACATTCAAAGAAAAAGACGGAATAAGGGACGGATCTTACATTCGAAGAAAGGGTTGGAGTTTTTTTGACATCTTCTGATAAAAGCTGATGTCCTGAGCTAAATTTTGAGAATGTTTTACCTGATATGATTTTCATACAGTTATGTGGGTTTGAAAACTTCCAATTTAGAAAAATTAACACTCGGTATACTTCGTGCTTTTTCAGCGTAAGCGACAAATTACATAGTTCCAAACTTAATTGAGGTCGACAATTTGCTCTGATCAATGCGGTAACAGATTCAAAATGTGTCACTTTGTACTTAACATAGTTTGAGGGTCGATAAATTATAGAAAAAAGGGGAAAAACCTAGTATATCATTTTCTCATTTTTTCCCGATTACTCTCTCAATTTTTGACAAAAAACTTTTTTATTGACTTTAAACGGCAGACGGAACATTCAGGGATTTTCCTTGATACGAGTATTCCTTTAAAGTTTTCGTACCTGTCGATTTTTCCTGAATAGGTGTAAAATGTAAATTCCCGCACACTTGTTGGTTTATTTGTCGTAATGGGTTACACTGAATTGTTACACTGTATGATTAACAATTCGAGCAACACGAAAATAAATGCTACTGCGAGCAGATCACGGTCTTAGCTTATTGTTTTTTCTTCTATTTTTGTGATTATAAGACGCCAGCGAACCGTTGATGAAGCTGAAATATGTTGTAACTTTACTTAAAAAGCATATTGCTATCAATCATAAGCTCAACAGTAGTTTTCCGTAAAGAACTGAACAGCTGCTCGTACCCTGGTGTTTTCTAACTTGCTAATTGGTTTTAATAGGATCCTGCTTTTCCACATGAAAGTTTTTTTGTTCATCTAAAAAGCGAGCCAAAAGACTGAACCAAACACTTTATTTGAAAAGACAAAATATCGAACCACTCCGTTACCGAATAAACCTCATTCACATCGTATAAATATAGCGTTTCCGTTAAAAAAAATTAACCAATCCGTTTATTGCAGAGTAACTGAAACCATGGTTGAAATAGATGATTATCCAGTAAGTCAATTTCCAATAAATTGATTGATAAAAAGATCATTTGAAATTGATACATTGTTTGGGAATGATTTGTTTTCGCAGAGAGCACATTGGATCTACGCAGCTGGTTAGAAGTAAAATGATTGTGCTTTTGTTGCTATATGTTTATTTGTTAGTTGGTTTTGGTTCAGCACAGTCCCGAATAGCCCTGTCCAAATGTCTTGAATCGGTGGCAGTTCATAGTGTGTCGACCCCTCTTCACCTAAAAATCAGAAGAAAAATGTTCATTTTTTGTTCTACCTACTGGCTGATTTGGAATATTCCACAAATAACACAGAAATTTAAATACATCTTTTTTATCTTAAATCTCAATTCGTAAATCTAGATAGTTTGTTTAGTTTAAATTACTAACAGCTCTGTATGCTGGACTATCAGCGAAGTTATCCTCGAACATTCCGAGCTGCTGTCGTTTGAACTGCTCGCTCTCGCTCTCCCCGCCTCTCGGCTCCTCTTCGTCTTCGCCCTCGATCGTCTCGTCCCCCTGCTGACCATATATGGCAGCTAGTCTATGCCACAACTCGTTCGCATCTGAGTCGTACCCTCCTCCGTAGAGTTGGTTGCTGTTGCTCTCGGTTTTGGCGAAGTGTCGTTTGTCGGTAGGCATGAAACAACTCGCCGTCCAAACTGACAGGACAGAGAGAATGATTAGCGACTGCTCAAAGAAAACTGAAATATAAATATAAGACTGCTTGAAAACTTGTATTTCGACAATAAGATTTCTATCTTGTTATTTGCTATTCGACAAGATCTTTCTTTGGTGAACAAAAAATGGATCTACTTAACAATCTACCCCCATCCTTTTCAAGAAAAGGGGATTGTTAAGCAGATTAAGTTAGCCGAATTTTCGAACAATCAGAATGCAGCAAAATTAGAATTCTCAATAGAAAGCTCTAGTGCTTTTTACCTTCTTTATTTATAGGGGTGGAAATTCTTAAGTAGATACTATATCGTGTGGGGGGAGGGAGGTTGTTATTTAGATCCCAAAAAATGAAAACTTTTTAAAGGCCCACTGACGCTAATATATAGATACAAAAGCACAATCCTTGTTTTTTTGGAAAATATCAACAAAAAATTCAGTTTAATGGCGTCCGCTCGCCCTTCAAAAATGAGGCATATGATGCAGTTAAATATTGTCATCATGGATTAAAAATATATATTAATCTCTTGATTCAATTTTCTTAATTGTAACAGTAATTAGTAATCATTTTTTTGCGGAACTCGAACAGAAAACAATTGGCCTACAGTAAAAAAAAAACCAGGAGCCAATTATAATCACAAAACCATTCAAGTTAGAACTTTTTACAGTCAACAATCATGAATGATGACGCAAATAAATTATCATTTAGCAAAAAAATATATATTTTGTTGTATAGAATCAAAATCGTATTTACTTCATTTGCTCCAATAGATTGACAGACTACACCTTCATTTTTACTTGGGCATACTTTTTTAAACAAAAACATTGGAAAAACCTCAAAGCCAAAAATAATATAGGAAACACGGCGTTCATTAAAAATGAAAAGATTTAACATAATTTGCAGCTATTTTTGTCGATAAAAAGCACCTGCGCATTTGAAAACAAGATTTCTTTGAAAAAATAGCTTGTTAAACAAAAAGTGTTTTGGAAACTCAAACCAATGTCGCCATATTTAGAATGATACTACTGATACGTCTCAAATGTGTGGGAGCATCGCTGAAGGTGCATAGTGTCGACTTCCGGTCGAGATGTCGTGAATAAATAACAATGTTTTTCTAATCTAAATGTTGAGGGGGAATATAATCCCACAATATGTGAAATGGAGAAGTAAACAACTGTTGTGCAATCAGACCAAAAAATCCGGCCATATTTATCTTCGATCTGAAAAACTCAATTTGTTTTGTTCTGGGATTTCTGCGGTTAAGTATTCTGTCGTAGAAGGTGTGTTTTTCATCCCGGTTTTGAAAAGTTAACTTTTGCAATCAAAAGTTTGTGAAATAGGCTCTTATTTGTAAATATGCTCTTTTTATTTAGCCCTGTCAACAATTTTCTGTAAAACAAACTTATTCGTCATCAGTTTTACTTTTTAAAGCGTAGAAACTGCCACATAATCTTTAAAATTTTCAATTTAAAACTTTTTACTCAATAGCAGTATGCCGTGAAGTTTTTTCACAGCAAAAAAAAACTTAAAACACTTGCAAAAACTTAAAACACTTGCAAAATGGCAAACGCAAAAGTTAAGCAGCAAGGATTGCCGGTTACTGTGCAAGTAGCACAGAATGCTGCGACCATAGTCTTTAGAAAACTACGGTTTAGAAGTTTTTTTTTCAAATTAGTGCAGTTTTTCGGCTTGGCGTGATAAAAGGATCTGACGCAAAAATATAATATAAGCATATTAGGCAGTCATAGTAAGATAGGCAAATTGGACAAAAGGTTTTGTAGAAAGTTTTTCAATGGTCTTAACAAAAAACATTTTTGATTTTGGTTAGCTTTCTTGAGACCAGAATTATTTCCAAAATTTTGATCTTGCCCATCAAATTTTTTATAAGCTATAGAGTCGAAGTATAAGTGCGGTAAAATTTTTTCGAGACATGATTAAACCTTATTTTTTATGATACATTTATTTTGACTAAAATTCGTTACGGACATATTCAGCAGCGCACATAGCGCAGAGAATTTTTCAGCTGAACAAAAATTCTAAAATTTAAGAATTACTGTATCGAGAACGTTTTTAAAACAAACAAGGGATAAAATAATTCCAGTTTTCCGGCAGAAAACCCTTTAAATTATTATTATCTGAATTGGTGTGCTAGTGTTACACTCTCTGTTTTTCTACTTGGTGAATTTGGTTTATATACCGGTCTGGTAAAAAAAATCATGTTTACTTCGATATTTTTGTTCATAATAAACCATTCAACAAAAAATAAATTTTAGAAATTGTTAAACAATTTCAATAAAACTTATTTTTGCCCTACGTGTCTAGGACAAAATACTGACAAAATTGTGCGTGAGTTGGAAGTTGGTTTTTGTGAACAAAAAAGATTGGATTTTTTCTGAATTTCTTAACTCAATCTTCGCGCAATCTCAAAAAGTGATAATTTTTGTGTCTATTCCCAGAACATTAAACCAATTAGCTTGTCACTGTTCTTTTTGATGAATATCTTTTATCTCAAGTTTCATCCGAAATATCTTTCATCTCAGCATGCCCAAACAAGTAGTTTCCTAAACTCTATAACTAAAACTATTTTGAAATTTTAGGATCAAGGCATCAAATTTTCAGATGCTAAAACATCAACTCAAAATTGTTCGTCAAAAAGTCTCAATTGCACCAGAAAAAAATCAATGCGTCTTTTTATTCAAAATTTTAAATACCTAGAGTGAAATGCTGAATTAAATTTTGACATTTTTTATCACCCGCACTGATAAAATATGCATGAAAATCGATTCACGATAGCGCATTCAGATACGTAAATCGACTACTTAGAATTAGTTAAATGGATTTGTACGGTAGAAACAAAATCATTTTCATTGCCCATAAAAAATGATTTAAATTGATTTACATAAATTTTTTCTAGGCACTGAAATCCATCAAAGTCCCAGCAAAATTGATTTAAAGCAACTATTCTCTGTGTTTCGAAAATTGAGTAATTTTTTGTACCCAAGAAAAATCTCCATTGATGCTGCAGAGTGCAAGTAACAATGGAGGTGGGTTTTTAACCGTAAACAATTGTGATGAAGGGAATTCCTTCCTTTTTAAATATTGCAAATTTAAGGGCTCTGGCGTTATGAAAAGAAGTTGTATGCAAAAAACCTCCAACTGTCATTTCCTTAACAACGTTTCAGGCGCAGTTATAATAAGCAAATGGCAGATATGTGAAAAGTTCAAATAAGAACACTTCTTTTTGGTGCCAATTCATTTTTTCAGGCCAAGCATCTGAACTAAAGTCAAATAAAAACTGGGCAAAATCTAATGAAATTGATCTGAATGAATTTTATTGTTACGCACAATGCAAAAAAACCAAAAACAATTGTAATCAACAAAAGGGACGAAAATGGATTTGAAGCATATTGAAAATTGATTTTCAGCTACAAATTTGTATCAATTTTAAAAGATGTTTAATTGATGCAAATCAATTTTTTTACAATGTTTTTGCTACTTCATCAGTATCATCTGTTTACATTATCTGTTGCAATCAACTTCTTTTCAGTTTGGGCGGTGATTTTCTCGCAATAACAATATTTCGTTCACATTGAATTTGAAAATGTAACTGAATTAAATAAATTAATCAAACCTAATTATTGTGCTTTTTAATAAAAAAATATCAAGTATAAAAAAAATTGGAAAAATATTTAAAGTGGGATACTGAAGTCAACAAGTATTTGAAAAGTAGAGTTTGAAATAATTTCAGAAATAGTTTCCAGGTTCAAAAATCGACAGCATGGGCTCAACTATGATATTACAAATAAGACTTTTTACGATGTGTGAAGATCGTGAAAGTCAAATATTTTGGCCATTTGCAGTTCCGTCGGTGTTCAGTACAAAAAATTTTTGTCGCGCCTTTGAAGCAAACTGATATCTGTATTGGTAAAATGATCTTGACATGCTATTTCTTCGGGGTCCCTTCGACTTCTTACTACGCGTTAAAATTTTTCTTATACTTCTTTGTAACCTTATATCTAAAGCACTTTAAAAATATCGGTAGGTTAAAACAACTGAATTTTGTAGGAAAAATTGTTTTTTTTTTCATTTTTGCTTGGCAAAGTTTCTCTTATTAAAAAACACCTCAAAAATAAATATTCCTTGACTTTTTTCGAAAGTTTGATTGGCTTAAAGTTCCAAAACAATTAAGGTAGAGCTCCGAACAACAGAAAAAAATTCTAAACACAATTTATTTAAAACACGGAAAATTTCAAAATTCATGTGTCAATTTCTAAAACAACACAAAATTCTAAACACAATTTATCTGAATTAAAGAAAGTTTCAAAATTCAAACTTCAATTTCAAACTCCAACATTTTCGCGCTGTATGATAATGAAATACGTTTTCAGTCGACAACATTTAATCCATAACTTTGTAACTGGTAATTTTCATAGCATCTGTGGATTTTTCAAAAAAAATTTAAAATAAACATATTTTGAAAAATCTTTATTTTTTTTTGAATTTTTTTCTAAGCTTTTGAAAATACTGATTTTTTTCTGAGAAGTTAAAGAAGGATCAAAACGTTTAAGACATTGCCATGGTATAAGCAGTCTCGATGCAACCGAATAATTGATATTGGTTCTGTAAGCAAAAGCAAGCTAAAAATTCGAAGGATCAAAATTGATTAGCTTCATGAAATTTTATTTTTATCAAAAAGTCTCCAAAAGAATTTTAATGATTTTCAAATTAATCAAGGTTTTGCTCTAAAAATTCTTAGAATGTTTTTAGTTTGAAATATTTTGGTTGATGACATAAGAATATGTGAATCATCGCTGATAGATTTCATGATCGTAATACCCTGCTCAACATTCTCCCGTATCCAGGGGATTTTCTTCACACGATCTGAAATTCATAATTTCTTACACTAGTTTTTTCTCAGATCTGAAATTCTATACTTCAAATATGGATAAGAATTTGAAAACTTTAGTTCTGAAATTTGGATCTGAAATAGAAAATTTCAGGTCTGAAATAAACTTGAAAAATAAAATT